CCAAAATCACACCAGCTTGATGCTGGATTTCAAATCGATTCACCGACTTGTGCCATTCGGGATAGTACAACAAAAAAGCCTCAAAGCCTCACAAATATCATAATTCAGCCATTTATTCCATCCAATTTACAAAATAAACGTCAATGATATTTACAGGAAGTAATTGATAATCAAGAAAACGAAATAATTATCAAAATATTCAGTTTATATTCCATCCACAAATCAATTGTTCCACGAACCAAAAATTTCCATCCTCCCGACAATCGAGCCTTTTCATGAGAAATCGTTATCGGTTCAAAATATTCAGAAGAACCCAAAAAATTTAAACATTTCACGCTGTTGACTTATCAGCACTAACCCACAAGTTGAAAAAACAAATTTTCTCAGAATTTCTCATTTCAGAATGAAGGTGCGTTGTTGTGGATTTTCCGGTAGATTAAGCTTTTGTTACTTTTTGGGATGTATTGAGTCTCATCCACATTATTTTAATATTTCTAGCCTCAAGCTAAGGTTATATTATCACAGACGACTTTCTTTTGTTTGTCAAACATTATGCAATCAATAATAACATAATATTAAGGGTTTTTGGAATAAAAACATGAGGATAGGATCTAGATGTGGATTGCCTTGCTTAAGGCAATCGGAAATTACTGATCCATGGTTTTTAAGTTGAAGGTTAATTTATTTAAATTTAATTAATAACTATTTTTTCTTATAAGGCTGGGTTAAGGCTTTAGAACAAAAACTAGGCTAAAGGCTTTTTTTTACTAGCCATAAATCGAAGCTTCCCGAACAAGCAGAAGGTTTCTAAGGATAGAGCTGCCTTTAGACGATCTCTAAGCGCGGCAATGGGCCAAGGTGTGCCTCAGTCAAAGAAGTAAGTAAGTAGATCGAAGCTCCTTGGTGGAGCCCAGTTGTGTAGTCAACATCCACCCCGTTTGAATAATTCCTGGCTACGCTGCTGGTAGAGTCTATGCATGGCTTCTTTATGATGGCCAAATGCTGATATCGTCAATTAATCTGTATTTCTGTCTTTGATGAATCGTTGGCTGAACCAATGCGATCTTGTAGGGCTGCCTAAAATCTACTATTAGTCGAGGACTCAAGCTTTCAAATTTGAGGCTCAATGACACTACAAACCAATCGTGTTGATTATATCTTGTCCTATCAACATCAATGCATCATAAATCATTATTATCTTATTAAATACAATTATATCTAGAAGATAACCATTCCTAGTGATGTCTACTGGCTATTTATCTCCTGAAAAAATAAATAAATATTAAAATAGTTAAACAAACTCAAATTTCTATTTTATTTTAATTCTTTTTCCTTTTTTTATTTTTTTTTTCTTAAATAATTTTCCAACTCAGATTCTTAGTTTTCACAACCAGTAAAGTGAAATTATTTATTTTCTCCTTCAGATTTTATTTTCTTACCAACATTTTACAATTATTTTATGTAAATTTTTTTGATTTTTGTTGTTTTTTCATCTCTCGTAAAATATTATTATTTTTTTTTTCAATTATTTTAATGTCCTTTGCGATGCAAAAATTTACAGAAAATGCATAGATTTTTTATGTGCAAATATTCAACGAGAGAATGACAACATTTTTTTTCATTTTGTTTATTTTTTTGAGTTGTGGAGGATTGGGGGTAAAAATTATTTACAAAGTTTTCTTTCTTGTTTTCATTTAAATCTAAAAGTTTTTTCATCTCTTCTATAATTTACTTAAAAGTACTTCTTGTCGGAAGGTGAAACAACAATTTATTGTTTGGGGTATGAGAATGTCTGTCCTTTTTTGAACTGCAAATATTGGAAGGAGATGCAATTTTTTTAAAGGAGCAATTTCCAAATGATGACCAATTTTTTAAGATAGACTTGTGACATTAGAGAATCAAGGTCGCTGGACCATTGGATCATTAAACGTCAAAGCGTGAAAACTATCCCAAATATCCCATAAATATCCAAAATAATCCCAGACTGCCTACTGTACATGCAATCCCAAGATTAAATGTCTATTGCACTAAGGATTCGTTAGAACATTTCAATTTAAATGCATAAAAGCTCAATTACTTTAGATATTTAGGATATTTGGGAAAGTTTCCACACTTTGTTTAAAATGAAATTTGAATTTTTAAAAACTGTTGCTTTAAAGCATGTGGAATCTGAAGAATCAGTTCATAATATTTGTAGGCTAATTTGCCAGTGCGGGATGCATGCTTCTCTAGCTGACTGGTTAGACAACAACCCAAAAATCTCCAACCCTTTTCTTTTCTAAGACTTCGGTTCGATTCCCAACAGAAAACTTCTTCCAAATCAACAAAAAGTGTTGTCGACAGATCAGCATAATTCCCACGATATTACATTTATCTGGATTATATGAAGTGTATCATCATACTTCCTCCTTTGTATGGTGTGTGACAAAAAATCTTTCACAAAAGATTGCGACATTAATTGTACACAAATTTACAAAAAATCACATTCTCATACCCGCGATCCATTCATATCCATCAACTTGATGGATTTTCACAGACAAAAATTATTTTATTTTTTTGCAATTCTATTGTTTATTTGTCTTAAATCTAAAAGCTTTCATTATTTTTAATTATGAATTCAGATTTTAATGGAAATGTAAATGCAAGAAGATTTTATTTTACATCTCGTCAAGTTTGTTGTTTTTAATAAATGAATGTCTCTTTTCTATTTTTTGGAACCAAATTGGGAATATACAGTGAAATTTAATCTACAAAATTGATGGAATGAAATCTGATTTTGAACACAATCTTAATCAGGCTGTCCAACTGTGCACTTTTGAGCGGGACAGACCCGCCTTTTTGAACAAAATTCCACCCAAAAATTCTTAATGTCCCGCCTTTTGAACCTCTTTTTCATGGAAAATGCTTGAAAATTTGGTCTGTCCCACTCTGCTGTCGCCGAAATCGTAATATGTCCCGTTTTTGGATCAAAAATTGGCAAAACCGATGGACAGCATAATCTTAATCGCAAAGAACTGGGACCAGGGTTGCGATACAGGCACATGTGCACAACTGAGAACCGTACAATTCCTTGATAATTTGTGAGGTTTTGTTAGAAAAACCTTATAAATTACCAAGAAATTGTACGGTTCTTAACTATGCACAAGTGCCTGTTTCACAACCCTGACTGGGCCTGATTATAGGGCTACATAAGGCTATCCTTATCTTAGTAGCTAGGAAATTTTAAGAGTAGGATAACAGCAAATTTTTGCTGTTACCAAAGGAGGTTGATTACCAAAATCTCCTTCCATTCTCCTCCACTGGCTTCGCGCCTGACCCTATGTTTTCCCATATTAAAACATAATTCTCAATTCATTCAAAACTAATCCATTCAGAAACGATGAAAAAAGATATTTATTTTACAGTAAAAAAAAAAGCCAAACTTACTCATGCTCAAAAAAAGAACTAGAAAAATTCTAAAAGATTCTTGCTTTGAGCTTACAAGTTTTCCATTCACAGTACATAGATTGGCTTTCTATTCATCACACATCATCGTATAGCAATCGAACAAAAAATATCATGCATTCTCATCATTCAGACTATGTTTCTCTATATGATTTTTAATGCCACTGCTGATGCTGTTCTTTTCATATCTCATTCAATTTTGAATATTTCATTTTTATGTTCTCATTTCGTATTGTACAGCTTTCTCTTCTTATGACTACAATTGAGAATGAATATGACATGAGCCTTGTGTGTTGAGTTGAATATAATTTTTTTTTTCGGGAATAAAGTTTTTCATTCTTCTTTTTTTGCTAGCTTATGATGCTGTTTGGCTACTATTTTCTGTTCTTTTATGGGATGTTATGAATTTTTTGTGTTACATCTGATTTTTAAAAACTAAGTTTCGATACTTAAGTAGTACCAACATTGATGGGTTGGGGTTAAGAGAATTTGAGAGTAAGTTCACATGAAATATGAACTGTGCTGGATGTAGTTTTGAGGTCTTTGGCACAGAATATGCCTCCTTTGCTAGCTTACAAGGATATACTAGCATCTGGATGACTTCCTTACGACATCTTGCGCACACGAATTGTGACTAGGTACATTGCAGGGTACATCAGGTCTTATGACGTACTCGTGTCTTTGCAATGTGCAGAGCTTGCAAGGGGTTCGGATCCCACTATAAACTGTAGGTCTAAAGGGTGTGGTACAATAGATTCTGTTCTAATTTGAATCGCAGTGCCTCCAGCTGAAAGGCTGGGCCCTTCACACATTATTATTATTTTTCACATGAAATAGACTTTTTAAATGCCAAGACCTTAGTGCAGTGTCTTCTAAATTTTTGTGGACGACGACACACCTTGATGGTAAGTCATGACCAAAATTTTCCGATTTTCTGACTTTTTTCGTGGTTATGATTTGGTATTCACTACCTTAGTGCCACATAGGTTTCACATATCTTGAATAATGAAAATAGTAAGTTCCCCAAATCCACTTAGTCCATTTCCAAATTCATTTTTATGGAAGTAGGGATAATCAGCACCAAGTGAGTAGCCATGGAGGGGTCTTACAAAACCTGAAGTTTAACGTGCGATTTTTGACATTAAAATTTTTCTGGGAAACCCCTTAAAAAAATCCTAGCTACTCCCCTGATTGAGCACTACTCTTTGACAAATTCAATTTTATATTCATCAATATGAGATTCAGTGATGAAAGCATGCCAGCTGAATGTTCAGACAGAGCAATTTTACAAAAAATGATGAAAATGTAATTCTTTAGTTCCACACCCTTGGTGACAGAGCCAGCAACAGAGTCAGAGTCTATGGAATCTTAGATTTTGATGCTAATGTTCCTAGTTCATTGAACTTATTCCTATGCACATGACTTCATACTTATGAGACATCGATTGAAGACAACAAATCAATTGTGAATAATGGTGAACTCTATATGAGAAGGAGGGGGAAGAGGGTGCCTATCGCTGTATCTTCATCTACAAACAACTAATTTTCTTGCATAATAATAACTTCCATTCATCCATTCCTACAGACATATCCTAAACATCTCATTGTGTGTAAAAATGACAAAAAAAGAGAGATTTCTGTATACATTTTATTTTTCTTCTATGCATTTATATTTATTTGTTTGCGTGTATTTATCTATGACAGTTTATTTGGATGCTACAGGCTGTCATTACAAATCCCAAACATAAATCATCTCATGGAGAAATTAATGCACATGACAGTTGATACGGTCACAAGAAGAAGCGTTGGAATAGACGAAAACATTTTTGTTGGTGATGATAAGAGCCATTTCGATAGATGGAATGTTAAAAAATTGCTGTTTCTATTACAATATAATGAATGTATGCTGTTACTGCTACTATTGCCATGCTGCATTGCAGCTGGATGTTCCCCGTTTATAACATGAACCATAACACTCGCTGGATCTGTACGAAGAGAAAGAGAAAAAGAAAGTCCATTAGTGATGAAAAAATAGAAAAATAAAAAATGCATAAAATTTTATGAAAACACAAACAGAAGTGGAAAATTTGTTGAAATGCTTCGAGCATAGAGATCTCATAAATAAGCAATTTCAACCAAGCATTCCGACAATTAAAATTCTCAGCGGGGCACTTTCGTTGCATAATTTTTATTCTCTATATTTGTAAGGAATTAAGATTGCATAGCGAATGGAACTTTTATGGCACTTGAAGTGAATAAGCGAACACTGAGAGATTTTTCAGTTTTAATCACCAATCTTTTTGTAGTTTGCAAAGTAAGTGGATTTTGAAAATTTAATAATGAGGCTGTTTAACACCTCGACAATGAGTTATGCTGCAGTAACTTAATTGCTTTGGAATGTCAAAGGAATTATTTAACTGGAATGAAGATTTTTGTTATGTACAAATTATGACTTAAGCTACGGATATAGACAAGTTTGTGTAGTTCCACTTATTATTAGCATGAAGTCTAGTCTGAGAGTATTATAAGGGCTGTTTACATTTCGATCTCTCCTAATTTATATAGTGTTGTAAATGAGACAAGCTTATTAGTTGGCAGTAGAGTTGCGATATGTCACAGGCAATCACCTACCACGTACCTCAAATCTACCCACAGACATAACAGATCTGTGCCTAGGACAGGCAAAAAAAAAAATTGGCACATACTCTGTCTTTTAACAGACAATATCTGTGACAGATCTGTCAACTGTGTCTGTGACAGGCTACCTGTATTGCAACACTGGTTGGCAAAATCAAGTCACAAGGGCAACGTCAAGTAAAGGGGAGTCAACCTCCTTGACAGATCTTTGTTTTTAGTTCGGGAAATGACTTAAATGCCACTGGATCTATGATTCTGCTTGCAAACAGGTCTTTCATTCTTCCGTATTTTTGTTTTTGATTCGGGATGACTTGTTTCAGGGGGGTAGTAAAGAATTTGAAGTGGGGAGGGGGGCAAAGAATGACTTTACTGATCTACGCGAGGAAAATGTGCTTAGTTTGTCAAATGAAATAATTTTCGAGTTACGACAAAAGTTAATTAAGTGCTGTGTGCAAATCGTTGGGAAAATGCCTAATTATTTTTCATTTTGAAATGTACAAAATTATCGCTTATTTTTTGAACTCAAAACCATCAACCAAATCAAAAATAATCAGCATTTTTACCTTAATAATAAATGCATCAACATTTCAATAGCATAAATGCTTTATCTGGTGAAAAATTGTAAATTATAATGTGCGAAAATATTTTTTTATTAGCTTGCAGAAAAAAACTTAACATCAGTGACTCTAGCACTTCATAAAAGCTTTTTGCACTTCATTCAAACGATGAAAATAAAAAAAATTTTCTGCCTCTCGACTTTCCTTCATTCTACCACTTCAGTTTGTATCTGCAAGCTCATGTACATTGAATACAGTCAATTATCTCTAGTGTTATCAATGTGTGTATATATAGAACATATAGCATCAAAAAGCTACATACCTGAATTGCTTGGCAAGCATGTATAGTTTCCACTATCGGACGACATGGCACGTGAGATGACCAATTTGCTTGTTTTTGTTTGTCGCTCTGTTAAAACACTTATTCCACCGCGTTGAGAATAGTTGATAACACTCGGTCCTTTATACCAATAGATAAATGATGGCGGACCTGGAGCATCGTATGCGACACACGTTAGATTAATGTCATTACCACTTTTGATGAAAACTTCACTATTTCCTAATATTTCGGCACGGGAAACTGAAATGAGAAGAAACAAAAAAAAATAAGTTTTAGTTCCAATCGAAAATTATTTGGGGATACACACTGTTGGAGGTCATCGACATATTATCTAAATCATTAAAATGTCATAACAATGTGGGGTCATTTGCTAGGACTAAAGATATAATTTAATGCCAGTCATTGATGATCTTATGATGAGGAGTCATAAAATGACATGGGTCGTAAGTCTTATGACAAGTGAATACATGTATTTTTTACAAGTGAGCAAGAGAAGAAGTAAAAGGGAATTAAAGCTTTATTATTGCTGAGGGATGAGATGAGCTGTGGATGAATTTCGGAATTATAGGAGAATATTGTGATTTAAGGTACATCAGAGGCGGTTTCTTACACTAATCGGTGGACCCTACTTTAGTCAAAAAAAAAATCATGGGATTTTGGATATGTCAAAGGTTCGGAGTCAGTAAATCGATGTTTGTTCGTAAGATAGGGTACCCAATGTAGCCATAGAAACCACAGTGTTGCAGACATAAGGATCTGAGATGATCTAAATGCATCTCAAGATTGAAATATGTTTTTTTAAAAATTAACCCTCTAGGATGACATGATAGGACTGTCGACATAAATTTGTATGGGCAGCACCCAATTGTCCTGTCATCCTTTATTAATATCGTAGATTTTAACTCTACATTATCATCAGGGTGAGGCATTGGGAAAGCCAAAGTCTGATTCTGAAGCTGACCAAATGTCAAGTGCATAAATTCTCGTGGTATCGCTTAATGCACCGCTGGCGACCGAGCCCTATGCCAGAATAAGATCTAATATCAAATATCTCCGTAGTAAGAATTTTTACCTATTGGAAGTAACTCAACCTCAACAATGAGTCTAATGACATCGGATACCGGAAGAGTAAACAACCACAACCCATAAAATTTTAAAATATCCAGTCTCACCTTTAAAGCCATAAAGCAACAAAGACAACAAAAACAATCATGAAAATGATACAAGTTTATCTTTATTGTAAAGGAGTATATCCTATCGAATAGGGATAATAAAAGGAGATTGAAATCAATTTATTCGCTATCGCTTCCGATTGTCTTCATACTTTATTGTTCTGGTCATATAATCAACAATTTATATATCACTGCCACAATTTTTTCTATTAAGTAAGTATATTGAGACAGTTTATTTTCTTGTCGATATAATATCTCGTTTTATTTTATTTTATTCTTTATCAATATCAGTCGAAGCAGCAGCAGCAGTAGCATCATCAACAAAAAAAGGGCAAAAAGAAAATTTTTATCACACTCAGAAGTCTCCTTCTGGGCATCTGAAAGGAGCAAATAACATCGCAACATAGAGCTAAATGTCTTGATAGTTGAGGAAGGAAGGAAAGTTTCAAAACAACTTAATGTGATGATAAATTTTGCTATTGAATCGAATGGAATGGCGTGATGTGACATAATATACTGAATATCGCTTGGGGAGGACATTGAAGCTTGTGTATTGACAGAGATTTCCTTTTTGTTTGGGGCTTCCAATGTGTGGGGAATTTTTGTGTCAATATATTTTGCATATGTCAATATTGGTTGGGGGGGGAGCTTTCAGGAGCAGAAGTTGTGAAAATATTGGATCCAAAAAGTGTGAGAATTGTGTTTATTGGATGGATCATGAATCGAGCTGTTATGCTGCTCAAGATAAACTCATTTATGCTATGTTTGACTCTAGATCTGCCAGCTAAAGCTAATCAGTGATGGTGGATATGACTCGAAAAGCATATCTGTAGTAGATAGACCTAACCATAAGGCTCGTGTTGAAACTGGTTATATGTGAATGACGGATAACCGAAGTGAGATAAGTACCTCGGTGGTTGAGTGGCAGGGATCTTTGATCAAGTGGTCAGAGATTGCCTCTTTTGAGGTCGTGGATTTGATTCCAATCCAACCCGACTTGTTTTTACATTAGTATACACATGGTAGTTGTAGGGAGATCTACAGTCATCTCAGTAAGAAAGCAAGTTTAAGATTATCGAGTAAGCACGTTTGCTTATTAGAATTAAGACTAAGACTTTAGAATGTTGGTTGTATGCTAGGTATTCAAACTGTGCTCACGAGTATATATTAAAGCATAGCTCTTAAAGCCTCTTTCTACTACTCCTCAGAAATCTCTACTTTAAGGATCAAATATAATTCAATTAAAACAAGAATTAACCAGCCTCAGACTCCTAGAGTCAGATCTAAGAGCGTAGGAAATCATATCATCATATCATCATATCTAGTATCAGATTTGACTCCAACAACCACAAAACTCTCCAATCCTTGCCTCATCACCATAACTCTTGCTCCATATTCCCTAACATCACATCATCCCACCCAGACCATCATTACATCCACTGAAAAAAATGGTGACAAGCAAATGGCATCCGAATGTTTTTTGAAGTAAACAAACTCGTAAAGTAATTCACAACAGCAAATTGGGGAAATATCAATAACAAATTCCCGAGATTGAAATGACTTTAATCGATGTGTATCAAAGGAGAAGGAAAATTGGATGAAATAGAAGTTGATTGAAGTTTATTTTTGGATGAGAAAATTGTGTTCAATGAAGCATTTTATGATTATTTGTTTCATTATTACGGTATTGAAATTGATTTTTGAGAATTGAGATTGTATAATCGGTTAGAGATTATTGATAATTTTATTGGAATTATCTGATAGAAATTGGAAATTTATTTGTAAATCTTGATTTGTGATTTTAATGATTAATTTCAGATTCTAGTCGAATATCTATTTAATGATTAGTTTTTATTGTATTGCTCATTGGACAAGTTATGATTATTAATTAAGAGTACTTAATTAGCGATAATGAAGTGGCGAACTTTCAAATTTAAAACTTAATTCAATGTAAATTTAATTTAAAACTAATTGATTTATTTTTTAAAAACACTTGCAATTATTGGTAATCAATATGAATCAACATTAAAACAATAGATCTGTTATTATTAAATTTCAATAACTTGATCCGCATAACTTCATTGTTCTCAAGTTTCATTTGGATAATGAGTCATTTTAATTAATAAAAAATTAATTAACGTGAACTTTTTAAACCTATTTTAAAAATCATTAAAAATCAAATTAAAAAAAAAGGATTTTTTTCATAATCGAAATTGTAACAAAGAATGCCCGAGAATGCCTCAAAAGCAGTCTAATTAACGTAATGATGTTTCAACTTTTCAATTAAATTTAAAAATAACTTATTAAATTAACAAATATTTTTAAAAAATTATTCCTGAATATGATTTTACTGGGAAAGTTAATTATAATTTTTATTCATGTTTATCAGCCATTATTTGCTGCATAACAGTCAAAATTAAAGATTTAGTGCTGAAAATGACAACTTTATGAATTATAAGAATGCGATCCAAAATAAAAACTTCATCGCAGCTTCTTAAAAGAACCAATCCCGATTAGCACAAGTCGATTAATTAAATAGAAATCCAGCACCAAGCCGGAATGACTCTGGCTTCGATTAAAATCCATGCCAGAGTCACATAACCGACTTTTCTATTGGGAAACTAGAAAGAATACAAAATTAAAAATAAACCTCATCCTCCATTAAATTTATAAAGCATGATTACTGTCATATTGTGACTTACAATCCATTCCAACGTAAACTTTTCAATCTCAAGTTGATTTAAAAGGTTTTTTAAGTAGACAAGGAAGTATTGCTAGGATTGAGCATTTTATTTATGTCCATTTACTTTATATGCTGTAAAAAAGTCCTTAATCAATGTTTGTCAGAGTTAATAACCAAAAACATTAAAAAGTTAAAGTTAAGCAAGTTTAAAGCAAGTTTTTATTTATTTAGGCTAGCTATAAGCCTGCTTAAGACGAACTTTTGCCAATTCAGATTACTAGTTCCGAAAGCAGCAGTGGCGTGGTGGTTAAAATATTTGCCAACCAACTCTAACGACCCTGGTTCGATCCCAGGGAATGACTTGTCGGATTTTTGTGCTCATTCGCTGTTCTAGTCATGGCAACTCGATTTGAATGAGTCGCGACTCTCTTTGTATGAGTCTATGATACAGTCCAATCCTTTCTTTGTAGTCGAGGTAGTGGCCGGCAAATTATTAACCGCAATTATTAATCGCAATCCAGCCAATATTTTGAAAAGAAAATAATACAAAATCCACTGAAATCTCTGTCAATTTCATCCTAAGGACACTCATAGTCCAATTCAGAAAATGGAAGTTCTTTCTTTTCAATTTGAACAACATTTTTTAATTTCCTGTTAACATATATTTTCAACTTCACTTCCAACAACTCGTTTATTTTCTTTCCACTCTTGCTCATCCATTTTCCTCCACTCTCGACTTGAGCTATGGATATAATTAATGGGGTTCTTTCCCCTCCATTCTCAGTTCCTTGCTGTACAAGACTCACTTAACAATTTCTTATTTTACACATTTGAGTTGTCCGCATTGCAGAGTAAATTGAGTTATATACAAGAATGGAGGGAAAAAAAGTGAAATGCGAACAACACTTAATTAATCATCAGCATTGTGAGTAAATGTATTAATCATGACACATGTGTGTGTTTGTGATTCAGATATGGAATGAAGAAATTAAGGACTTTGAACTTTGAAATAGAAACTAAAATTCATTTAGAATTAAAAGAGATCTTTTTGTGGTTGCTATGTGCTAATTGGATTGAAATTTGTTTACTTAATAAATCATGCATGTCATGTAATGTTGGTTCTGACAGAATTTCAAATAGGATGCGACCTTTGTGATATGTAAACTTAATTGAATCAGTTTGATTGATATTGTTGATGAGGGTTCGCTCATTAATGACGTCCAAAAAAAGGGGGGGGGGGGCAGAAACAATAAAATTTCCTGGAAATCCATTTTTCTATTTTGAAGAATGACCGTTAATATCGGACGTCATAAGTGAACGATCCCTAATATGATTACATATAACATGGGGCCATTCATAAATGATGGCTAGGTTTTATCGAGGTATGAAGGGGAGGAAGCGAATCACTAAGGAACTTGTTTGAAAATTTACATCACCCCCTTTGTCAGGGACTCTACAAAATTAATTTTTTTAAGACATCATTTATGAACAACCCCCTTTTAATCAATTTTTGTCACAATTTAAGACAATTAAGGCTTTGTTTTGTCATTTTTTCATGTCTCTTGACTCAACTCCGTGATTTTCTGAACCACATCGATTATCCAACAACTTAAACATCCCCAAAACATTTTAAATCATTAATCATACTCACCAATAACTGTTAGTCGAAATGCTAAACTAATTTTTGGTTCTGTCGAGACTTGACACTCATAAATCTGCATTAAAAGAGTAGAATCAATTAATTTAAATCTTAATAATTTATTAATAATTTTAAATTCCTTACCCCACTATCTCTCGGCTGCGGTGATGTTATCCTCAACGTCCATTCATCAGACGAGTCAGCATGCAGTGATTGATAACGCTGATCATTTGTGTATGTAAGAATACCGACTGTTAAAATATGCAAGTCACGTTTTCGAATCCATGAAACCTGTAACAAGAATTAATATGAGATTATTAAATGTAACCCAAGGATTAACTGTTGATGTGAATAATGTGGATGAGAAAATTAAGGGAAGGATTAAGTAGTAAGTTGTAATGATTTGAGAAAATGAGGGTGACGATGCTTTGAGAGCATTTTTGTGGGGGTCCTTTCGCAAGATTTTTAAATTGTCTCAATGTCCTTGAGTTTTCTGCATACTTCCATTTAGCTCTGTCAACTTGATCTCATCAAGATAAAGGAAGCTCAAATCCCATTTACTATTCTTCCCACTAAAGTTGCAAGCCGTAAAGCTAATAATAAATCACCTCAACGTGTGATAAATCGTAACATTGTATTTCAATTAACCGTGTGTATGTTGATACTTAATGCCTTATAGAATCATATAAATGATAATCATAAATTTCATTCTCATTAAGTCGGGGATTAACCTTCAATTTTTGTTATGGCTGTGTCATCATCACTCTTATTATTATCATTAATAGTAATAATATATGTGCGGGGATAGAAAGGTGAGATAATTGAATGTTTTGCACGAAGAGGAGAATTTTGTGGAAATATTGATCGAAAAGGAGATGGATGTCATTATAATGTTTACTGAAAATAGAATTACATATGAGTTTTTTAAGTTGGTTTGATTAGGTGAGCTCTTTTGGAAGTGTACTTAAGAGCCTCAATCTTCAGTGATTCATCTTTACGGAATGCCTCTAAGTAGCTTTTATGACATCTATAGCAGCATTTCAAAAAAAGTTCAACAAACATGAAGCTACCAAAATTTCTGTAGAGTCCACAATCAAAAAAGTTAAAATCAGTCCACCAAGCAGTCTTCATATTTAAGAGAATGACAAAAAACCAGCTAAAGTAGCACCTTAAAGGTATTTGTTGATGAGCAAGAAGACCACTTCTCAGTCAATGCGACCTCTTTTTTTTGAAAAAATCGCTGGTTTAATAGGGTTTTTGGTCCAAAAAACCTCTTTAATGTCCCCCCCCCCAAATTTTCCATCAATACAAAAAAAAATGGCAACTCCAGGTCTTTGATGATGAGGAGAGGAGAAGGGGGGAATGATTTTTTTAATGATTGGGTGTTTGGATGATTGGATTTAAATTTCTTTGAAAAAAAAAATTATCAAGAGAGAGAGGAGGGGAGAGGGGTTGGTTGGTTCCAAAAACCTTTTAAGGTCCAGATAACCGAATACAGTTAGAGCTACCCAGGGTACTCTACAATAGTGTCAGATTATTATCTCAAATATTGTAGTTCATCGAAATCAAATTCTGCCGTAGGATGCCCCTGGTAGACCTAGAAATCAGCCCCAGCATAAATTTTATATAGTCCAGCTCAAAAATTTTCAATATTCACAATTCAATGAATTTCCCACAGGGCCTCAAAAAAAAAATAATCCATATTAATACTCACCGCTCTATCGCCTAAATTGCGTACAACACAGTGAAGTTTAGCCGATTGTCCAACTGTTGCAGTAATATCTCTCTTTGTCATATTGTCAAAGTATGGAAGGCCATAATTTGTGTTTTGCCATGTCGGTTGTGTTGTCTCGCTGTTTATGTTTATGATATCATTTGCTGTGGACGATAAAGAATGAAGAGAAATAATTAAGAAAACGTAAGGAATAGGACGAGATATTCCAGCTGCAGCATCAAATTAAAATCTTGAGTGAATAAAATTAAATATGGAATGAGAAATAGTTGCTGGATGTGATTGAAATTAGCATAGAGAATGGAAATTAAGAGGATTAATAAAGCTTTTAACAGATTATAATGCGAATGGAATCTCATTGTGCTGATGAGAATGACTATGATAATTTTAATTCCACTGATTGAAGAGTATTGTGTGAAAATGTATTTAATGATTTGCCTCATTTCCCTCATAATGCTCGGAATGGAACTAAGTTTTCTATCTCATTAAATGATTTCAATTAACTTAATGTTTTCCCGACTTCTTCTCATGCTCAACTACTTTTTTTTTGCATTTTCAGTTCTCATCTTAAATGCCACAAGGATATTGGCTGTAAACAAGGAAGCTGTCTCTTTATTCCAGACTATGATAAACTTTAGTTTCTTGTTGTTCATTTTACTGTTGTTGTGGATGAAGACAATGACTGTTATTGAGTGACATTTTGATAATGGAATATTGAAGTTTATGTAGCTTAATCATTCATCGTTCAGAATTATCCTCGACAGTATATTTCAATTATCTTGATGTACATGAGAAAGTTTTGAGCTGCAGAACTTTATTTCAGATGAATTGAAATTGCTGAGTATCGATTGCTGTTTTGAGATAATTGGTTAGACTGGAAAACTTTCATAGTGTTTTGTAGATTAATTTCGTGTATGTGGATTGTTGTAAGTTTAAATTGATTTTGGTGTTGGAACTGATTATTTTGATAGATTCAAAGATTTGCTATTTAGCTTTTAAAAAAAGAATCAAACATATTTGTGTCAAGATCTGCTGTAGTCGCGTAATAAAGGAAAAAAGAACTCAAGCTACATAACCTCAAAGAAGCTCTATACATGTTGTACTCTAAAGATTCGTCTATGAATGATGCCCTTCAAAAATCGTAGTTTCAAATCCGTTCTGTCATATTCACACAGCGTCAGAGCCCCCATCCCAACTTCCTTCCACAAAATTTGACATCATTTATGAACAACTCTAGTGTTAATTCTTGGAATTTAAAAATGGCGTGTTTTGTGCAGTGTTGCGATACACGTCGTCTGTCTCAGGCAGAGGTGACAGATGTATTGAATCTGTGGGAAGCTTTGACAGATCTGTGCCTGTGACAGGCAAAAAAATATTGTCTGTCACAGCCTTTAACAAGTAAGTGACAAGTGATTGCCTGTGATAGATTGCAACTCTGATTTTGTGTAGATTCGATGCTGGGTTATAAGTCAAGAGATTATAAGTCCAGAAAATCAAAATCACTAAAGGTTTACAATATACAAATTGTACCTGGACTTAAAAACCTCACATGCAGTTCATAAGTCCAGGTACAAATACAGCTATAATTAAAAACTGCACGAGAGGTTTTTAAGTCTTAGTTCTTTTATATCTGGACTTATAAACCTTACTTGTGGTTTATAGTATCAGAATTTTTAAAAATAAACTCGTGATTAATCCCAGTACCTACTTCATAGTTTTTCAAGTCCTATTTGATATCCTAATCCAACAGTAAAAGGATTCTTGTAAGATTCAAAATATCATGTCAGAAATGGCTTGGATTTTTTTTTGGGTTTACTTCCGAGTGTGTACGCCTTGTAGAATACCATGAAATTTGAAAATTGTGAATCAATTTGATTTAATTCCGTTAAACTCAAAAACAAGCACAGAAGAAGCAAAAATCCTGTTTTTGGGGTGTAACTCAGTTCATACAGTTGCAATATTAATTTATATGACTAAAGTACAGCGAAGGAACCAGCATCAGACTCTAAGCCTGTGTCTAGCTGTTGGCTCGCCTTTTGCTGTTCTAAACATGATCTTAAGTGTCAATCACTTAGATTGACAGCAGTAACAATAAGATTTAACTCGATTAAGTAAATATATAACATCGCTAGCTACAATAAGTCATCCTTTAGGACATAATTCACTAAGCAGAGATGTCAAAATGTCAATCTCTAATTAATCAGTTCCTCATCATCATCAAAAACAACAAACCAAAACTATAAATAGCTCAGCATGTCAAAATATCTCAAAATATCTTTGAGGCACATCAAGAGCAAACAATCAAGCCTTCCACATCAATGAATTAAGATAAATAATTTATTCAAACCAATAATTTGCAGCTTGTGTGAGCCTTGATGTCAAATTATACAAAACAACCGAGAATAATAATTATGAATATTAAATTTTGTTTATCATCATTGAATTGTTTATCCCCAAAAGAAAATCTAAGCAGTTCCAATTAAGGCACAATTTAGTCGTCATAGGAATTATAAATCAGATTATGTGACTATAATTGTCTTGAAAGTTCTATATTAGTTCCGGATGAAACTTTTTATGCTGACGAAAAAAAATATAAATGCACAAGATGCTGAGCAGAATTAACAATTAAAATGAAATAAAGGAATTGAAGAATATTCATGCAAAAGGAGAAACTTTTCCTTCTGTTCTTTGACACGAAACTTTTTTCATCAATTTTCCTGTTTAAAAATTGTTGCTAACATGGAACAGAAGGGAGTCTAGAAACATAGAATAAAGTCACATTATTTTCTTCTTTGGAAGTTCTGAAAAAGTTGACTGAAGCTATTTAGAAAGGAACAGACATTATAAAGGATGTATGAGTACACATGAAATTTTATTATTTAATATTTTTTTTAAAGTATATAAGAATCTAGGATGGGATATCTACAAATGTTGACGTCCTAGTTGACGCTGTTTTAAAAAGTCTCCATCATATGCTTGATAATTTTCGTTATATCCTACACGATATTCCGAAAAATTGGCAAAATCATAATTATAATCACGAGCAGAGCTTCGAAGTGGATGTCTTGATTGATGACTTGTACTAGCCATTAATCCAGCAGCAGCTGTATGCTGTTTTGGTAGTAATCCATCAATCATATCACATCCTAAAGTTCCAGCTCGACTTTGCAAAATTTGCATCATTCGACGTTCGCGAGCTCGTAAAATCTCTTCCTTCTTCTTCTTATCGGATGGTGGTTTTGCCAAAGTTATTTCCATTTGAGATCCACAAAGTTCTTTATTATTTAAATGCTTCATTGCTTGTATAGCATCATCACGATCCTCAAAATGGATGAATGCATAGTCTTTAATTTTCTTGACTCTTTCAACCTTCCCATATTGCTCAAATTCATCCTTAAGCTGCTCTTCAGTTACATCCTGGATCAAATTACGAACATAGAGGACTTTAACTTGATTCATTATATCCTTATCTGGCTCTTCCATAGGATCAGCCCAATCAACAATAATGTCACAGCTCCAGACTTTAATTCGACCAGTTCCTAGTCGACGTTTTGCTAATGATGCAGCCTTATGTGTCTCATATTCCAAGAAGCAGAAGCCACGATTCTTTTTCTTATTATTCGGTGAACTGTATATGATTACATTAGCTAGTCCAGCTGTCAACTTACCAAACTCATCGAAAATCTCCTCTTTGCTTTTTGATTTCGGGATGTTTCCAACATAAATACGTAAATTAGGTACGCTGACATTAACCTTCAGGTACTTCCCAGGTCGAATTTCATAGCCATCGAATTCTTGTACAGCATCATTAGCAGCATAACGGTTTGTGAATGTGACAAATGCATAGCCACGATTAGTACCTGTCATAGGATCCATCATCAAACGAAGATCCCAAATTGTGCCGCACTTTTCGAACATTGGAATCAGCTCATCTTCAAATATTTCTCTTGGTATTTTGCCACAAAAGATTTCACATCCATTGCCTGGTGTTGCTTCATTCCAATTTGGTGGTGGACCACCATATTTACGTTGACCAGTGGTTACGTCTAGCTTGTATCCAGTACGTTCGAGAATCAACTTAATTTTATCTTCATCTGGTCCTTTTGCTTGATCTGGAATGAGTGATGTTGGAATTCCAGACAGATTTGCTCGACTCTTCTGACGATACGTCTTCATTACGCCACATAAGTATGCTGACTTGTTCGATACATGCTCAAGATTTGATTCCAAGAATTGACTTAATACATTTAAGGCACCATCGATTGGGAACTCTTTGAGAGCATCAAAGGCACGTTCATCAAGTTCGGCATGAGCAAGCTTGCCAGTTTTGTAAATTTCATCTAATTTGACAGCAACTGTTGTCTCCAGTCCATATTTCAACAATTTTGAGTAGTCTTCAGTATGAACTGCATCTCCACGATCATGAGCACTACTTGGGGTTTCTGCCATGCCTATGAAATGAGAATTTTGTTCTTAAATTGCAATTTTTGATTAATTTTCACTTTAGACTTACTTTCTTCCCCCTTCTTTATATTACAATCAGTAAAACGATGATCAATTTCATCCATGCTTATTTTAATTCGTTAAATCACTTATTTTAAATAGATTAAACACTGAAAATGATCCTTTTGCGTTGAAAGTTTGAATTTGAATGAAATTTTCATGAATAAACTTCAATTTCATGGCATTCTGAGTTCTTTTCCTTGTGAAATTCTTCAATTTTTGTGCTTCAATGTTTTCTATGACTTATATTATTTGTTTTGATGCCTGGATTAATGTTTATATGATAAAGAAATTGACAAGCAGGAATGATGTTTGCAATTGTGAGATTTGAACTCAAGTTTTGAGGTGAAAAGCAATGAGAATTTTAATAATTTTATTGTGAAATTCGACATTTATTGGTTTATTTGATTGCTGACATGAAAGGAAGTGATAGATTCCAACATAATTGATGATTCCGGAAGCTTATTGTTCGTTCTTCGTTTTGGTATTACTAATATGGTCTTTTTATACTCAAAATATGAAGAAACTCAATGAAAATTAGACGAAAAGCAGATAGATGAAATAGGCACTTAGAGGTTCATTCTTAATACTTTATAAAGTCATTTAATAATGAATCATATCAGGGGCATAGGCAAGTGAGCTT